GGATAGGTTGATGCAGGGTTGTGATAAACAAGCTGATCCAGGTATTCTCACTTTACTTAAGTCAGGAAGTAATACTGCGGAGCAAATAGCTCCGGGTCACTTGCATTCTGCCGCAATCCAAGTAAGTATTTCACTCCTTTTGATTTCAATTTACTTGCAAGTAACGCACCCTTCCACCCATCTTTATGGGATGACAAGCTCAAGTATAAAATCATCTTTTCTGATCGTGGTCAAGTAATTATTTCAACTGTCACTTCAGTTACTGTAAGTTACAGTCTCAATAACATTACCCTGCATTTCGAAACAGTGGATTCATCTGAATTATCAAAAATAATTGCAATGAACTCTATGAGCAGATTTGGTCTTGCATTTAAAAGAATTATTAGCCATAGAAAAATTTAGCGAGTCTCTACCCAAACAACAAGGCAGTTTGATGTGATTATAAATTGTGACTTCTAAAAATACGTACTTATTATCTCGCCAAATTATCCCAACTTTAACCGAGCTATGTAAAAAACATCTGCCGTAATGAATTTCACCAAAGTTAATGTATTTATTAATGGTGAACCGAATAAGTTGTGCAGCAATGGGGCTTCGTTATTTCAGTTGTACGAAGAAAGCTACCGCTGCTTAAGTAGTAGTAACAAAACAAGTTCTACTGAGGCAAACGTGACATGTCAAGAATATGCTTTCAATCCAGCAACGATAAATAACTGGTATCTAGTGATGCAACAACACCTCGCAACTAATTTCCATAGTACTAGCAATCAACACCTTCATGAATTCGCTCTGAAATTTGAGTTATCCTCCAAGAAAAATTCCAGAGCGTCGTCATTTTCTATCTTTTTTTTTTAAAATTTCTGATTTCTTCTCTTCTTGAGACTTCCTCTTCATTTCTATTTTCTCTTGCAAAATCTACCTAGCCGTTTCTTTAATATCAATTTTGCACTTGCAACATATGATATTTAGCAATTGATCCAGTTTTGATTACCTAGAAGACACGTATATTTTTGAAGCTTTCCCATGTGCTATATCTCTGATCGTTTTCCAAGATAACTCAATTTTCTCAAATAAAGTTTTCTTTATAACAACCACTGGAGGTTTAAAAAGAGCATTTGCTTTCATGCACTGCTAAAGAACAATGTCTGCTAATAGTCGAGGTCTCTCGCTAATATATTTCTTTTAAGAACAAAAATAATTAATACCATGCAAAAATGTGTATTTTTCAAAATAATTGAGAAGCTGTTTTAATGTATTCATTTTTTTCATAATAAATTTTTAGTGTCGTGAGATACTACATGTGAACAACTTCTTATTGAAGTAAAGTTACTTGGATTATACGACCTTTACTCAAGATATCTTTTAAATTCAGTACTTCTAATGGTAGAAGATCCTTACTTCTGCCTAAATAAGTTGATAACTTTGTTTCTATAGAATGTCTTGTTTTTTTTGAAGCAACCAAGGTTAGTTTATTATCTTTATAAGAAATTAATTTTACTATTCACTCAAAATAAAAAATTGAATTCTTTTTATATAGTTTATAGTTAAACACGATAAACTCAAAAAATCATAATTACCGACACATAACAGCCTAAAACTAATTTAAACTTCACCCTAAATTATAATTACAACATCATTATTACAAAGTATAATTTTAATTATAGTCACTTTGAAAGACGTCATTAAAACAATGAAAGTATGACAATTATTCTGAATTTTAATGTCATACTATATTTCAACTCTTTTTTTAAACATCTTTTATCGCACTTCCCCTGAATAATCGTGAATAACTCTTTTTTCTAAAGATTCTCTTTTAGAGGTTCAATTAGAAGTCATCAATTAGAACTGGAGTTGTTCCAGACAAATTAAAAATTGCAAAGGTTTTACCTATATTTAAAACTGGAAACACGGCCTTGCTAACCAATTATAGACCTATCACAATTCTTTCAGTGTTTTCCAAACTCCTGGAAAGAATAATGTACAACCAACTTTATAATTATTTAACAGCCAATAAAATCATAAGTGAATGTCAAACGGCTTTCAAACAAATCATTTTACGGAGCATGCTACCGTAGACTTAATTAACAACATTAGATCATCTTTTAATAAAGGAAAATTTGTATTGGGAGTTTGTATTGATTTTACAAAAGCTTTCGAGACTGTCAACCATAAAATTCTGCTCAACAAAATGAGAAAGTACGGTATAAAAAACCAAACTATTAAATGGTTCACTAATTATTTAAATAACATACAACAATGTGTTACAATAGATGGTATCACAAGTACAAAATTATTAAAAATAAAATGTGATGTCCCCCAGGGATCTATTCTTGCACCTTTATTATTTCTTATCTACATTAACGATCTCCCTAAAGTCTCTACAAATCTCAATTGTATAATGTTTGCAGATGATGCGAATCTGTTTTACTTATCTACCTCTATCAATAACTTTTTTGATAAAGTCAACATTGAGCTTCAAAACTTAAAACATGGTTCAGTGCTAACATGTTATCATTAAACGCCCAATAAACTAAATATATTTTATTTCACTCAAAGAAACAGAAAAATAAACTACCATCAATTCTACCCTCACAAAGTATCGAACACAAAAAAATTGAAATAACCCAAACAATTAAATTTCTTGGTGTGATTATTGACGAAAATGTTTCACGGACAGCCCATATAAATGCCATCAACACTAAAATATCTAAAAGTATTGGTATACTTTGTAACCATTTTTATCGCAAAAAAACTTAAAACTTTTTTACTTTTCTATTATACATAGCCATCTCACATATGCCAACATTACTTGGGAAAGGACACACAAGACAAAGTTAATGTCCCTTTATTGACGACAAAAACATGCCTCTTGAGTAATACATCATAAAAACAAACTGACCCACGCTAAACCCCTATTAAAAGAAAGGAAAGCGCTAAACATTTACCAAATTAATATCTATGCTAATATATTGTTCATGCTAAAATACAAATTAGGGTTAGATCCAAACCAATTTACAGCAAATTTCTTTCAATCTAATGTCATCAAATTTATCACAAGATCAACTGGTAACTTTATTGTACCCCGGAAAAGACAAAAAATTTCTCAGTTTTCTATTTCTTATCGCGGCCCTTATTTATATAACAAATTAATTCCGAATTATACCTCAATTTCTCTTGCTGACAATATAACTTCTTTAAAGTCATAACAAAAAAAATCATGTTCTAAAAAAAGATAATTACTTAGAAATGTTTTAGTTCTAATGATAAATTAGTATTTACGCTCACATTCAAACGATCAGTAATCAATCAAAAATGAAAATGTATTTTTTTTTTAAATAAAAAATAAAGAAAATATTATTATTATAAACCACAACACTAACACCATACATAGTATAATAAAAAGAAAATAAAAAGTCTACCTCAATAACATTTAAAATATTTGCATTATGAGAATCATAATATTTATATGTGTATTTAACGCAATACCTAGAGTTTCTCGATGATAAGACTAAACTCAGTCTTCTACGAGTTCCCTGCAACAGTCAAAACCCTTATCAAGTCATAGCATATTTAATTATTGCTTTCAATGTTTATCTTAACGGTATTTTGTGAAATATTAATTTTTTTGTATTAGAAGTATATTTTGTTAATGTTATCGCAGTGCAAAAAAACTTTGCAATTAATATGTATTTGTGAAAATTTGAAGAGAATAAAAAAAAAAAAAAGTTAAATCACGCATATACAAGAATTACATTTTTGTTTTTTGTTTTTTTTCTCAAGTTATTATTCACATATAGTGGCACCATAGAAATGATCCGCCATTTTAAAAATAATACAAAATTGAAAATATATATGTTTTTAAAAGTCAACTCTTGTTATACAATATGTTTATATATGTATAAATTGATTTTAATAAAAAAGGCAGTGTATAACTATTTGTTTAATATATTTTGATATAATGATATATTAACAATAATGAGCTGAGCTCTTGTGGTTAGCGTCATCAGGTAATAAAAAAAAACGATACAAAATAACATAAAACCAACCAAATTCAAAAAAAAACTGAACTGAAGGAAAAAAACTATAAATTGCAAAGTAATAAATTTACCAACCATTAATCATGATAAAGCAACCACTGATCTAAATCTTAGTCCAAAATTTATACCATCACAAAAGAATATCCCTTTCATAAATATCATCATTAATATTGAAACCTGTACCTTACAACTCGAACAATAAAATAAATAAGCACAGGCAGAGAATATTTGACAAAAGTGTTCGAAAATCCTAACAAGTTCTTTAAAGTTGAAATTAGAAGATAATTTAACAAAACGACAACGCTTTCATTTACAAAACCTAAAAAGGCATTCACATCTAAAGATATATCCATTTGACAGGGAAGTAGGTTTTGCTTTATTATACAAAAATGAAGCAAAAGATAAAATAGAAGAACAAATAAAAAATAGTAAAGTTATTGATTACAATACAACACTCACATTTACTACTAAATTTCAAAAAATGTTATTTAAATTAAGAAAACAGGGTAAGTTTGACAATGCCACTTACTTTAAATGTATCTATCACATTGCGTTCCACCTAGAATCTATGGAATGGTTAAAGCTCACAAATTTATTAGTTCAACTTGTACCGGAAAAACTGGATCAAGTGCTGAAGACTAGAACAAATATCAAAAACAAAAAAAAAAGTACGATCGATTAACTGAAGCTTTTGATTTCACAAAAAAAACATGACGAATGACTATGAAGTGAGGCCAAAAATATGTATCATTTTTAGATTAAAAGCAAAAGATAGGTTGTTTACCCAACTAGAAGGCTGCTAGTTAAAAATTATCCATAAAAAATATTTACCTTTGGTACACATGTTAGATACCACTAATGTCAAATACTAATGTTAAAGAATAAAAAATGAAGTTAAATTAAAAGATCATCAGACCTACAGATGGAAATGCATATACTAAGGTAAAGGTTTAACAGCTATTT